GACAAGGACACAGGCAGGGAGTGAAAAAGCCAGAGCTGCCCAGGTCCCTTGAATCCTCTCTGGCCCAGGGACCCAGAGCTGGGCGGGCTCAGGTATGGGAAATGAGTGTGGCTGCAGTCCCTGTGCTGCATGAGCTGACGTGTGCTGTTCCCTGCAGGGCACCCATGGGGACGCAGTCATCCTGGGCATGTCCAGCCTGCAGCAGCTGGAGATGAACCTGGCAGCTGTGAAGGAGGGACCCCTGAAGTCAGAAGTCGTGGAGGCCTTTGACCAAGCCTGGAACCTGGCTGTCCCCAAAGCTGCCAACTACTACCGCTAGGCCACAGATGACACATGTATAGTAGCTTATGTGTCAACCCCTTTGTTCTTTCCCAGAACCCCTCTATCTTCCATTAACCAGTGTGGTCTCTAAAGACTTTCTGCTCCCTGCCTGCTCCTCCCCTGCCTAGTGCCTTTACAGTGTGGGAGGCTGAGGCCGAGCCCCACACAGCACATCCTGTGGAATAAAGCTGCCCTGCCCTGGCTGCAGCTGGGCTCGGGTGAACCCACCAATGTGTCTGCTCTGCTGCTTGCAACATGTTCCCTGCCTGCTCTGGGCTTCTGAGAGGGGGCACTGTGCAGTATTGGGTCTTCAAGGGCAGATGTCAGGGATTGTCCAGCAAGGGTGTCTCTCAGAGTGGTTCCTAGATATTGCCTGTACTCTTTGGGGGACAAGGGACCCTCTGTCTCCCTCAGACTGAGGAAAGGGGCGCGCCTTGCTGCAGGGCTCTCTCCTTCAGGACCCCCCTTCAGGGCTTGGGTAGGTGACACTTGCCACATGTGCTGCCATGAGTGTCAACAGCAAGAACGGGTCCCAGAGCCAAAATCACACTGAGAAAAACAAGTGGGAGGACTCATCTTTCCTGATTTGAGACTGACTGCAGAGCTACAGCAGGAGACAGTGTGGAATGCCTGTAGGATAGACACGAGTCAGAGAACTAGAGCTGTGAGTTCTAAAATGCCCGTGCCCGGGGACTGCGAGTGGGTTTGAGAGAAGTGGGGAGGGAATCGTCCTCAGCCTGGGGTTCTGGGATGACCAGTGTCCTCAGGCAGATGTCTGAGCTTGCACACCTGGCTCACACCATCCCCCCAGATCAACTGCACATGGAAGAACCCCAAGTGTCAAGGCTATTTCCTAAAACTCTTAGGGGAAAACCCAGGAGTGAATCTTCACAACTTTGAGCTAGGCAAGGATTTCTTAGGTAAGTCACAAGATGTCAAGGAATGTAAACCAATGAACTGGACAATAAGCAGACAGTTAGACCTAAAGTTATATTAACAATTAAGGGATTGAGGGTAGTGATGTATGGATAATAATTAGAGGCCTGGAGCTTGTGCTGTGGCATGGTGGACTGGATTTCCACCCATGATACCACATTCCACATGGGTGCCTGTTTGTATGCTGGGTGCCCCATTTCAGATCAGCTCTCTGCTATGGCCTGGGAAAGCAGTAAAGAATGAGTCAAGTCCTTGGGATCCTGCACCCACATGGAGGATGCAGAAAAAGCTCCTCACTTCATATTGGTTTAGCTCTGATCTTTCATGCTAAATTGAGATGGAACCAATGGATGGAAGAGTTCTTTCTATGTCTCTTGCTTCTATTTTTAATTGGGGTTTGATTCAATTGTGATACTGGTGTGGCAGATCTAGTGGGAACATGTCCTCTGTTTTGGTGAGTCCTCATGGGGCAGTTAGTTCTCTTAGAGGCTTGGATATATACACAGAGTTACGCCCAGCTAATCCCTTTGCTTCCTGGGCTGACAAGGGACCCTCGTTCTCCGCTCTCCATGGACAAGTGGTATTTGAGCTTCCTGACAATGGACAACCAACTTGTGAAAGCATGAGCTGAGATGAATTTTCCCCAACCATGATTAGCTTCTCCCAGTTGATGTAGGGCAAGCAATGCAAAGTTGACATGTACAACCATCAGGGCATGATGGGAGAAAATATTTGCCAACAACATCATCAGCCAAGGAGCATATGTCTAGGTTATGGTAGGGGCTCTTGTCACTTGATAAAATGTGCACACACCTGAGCAATGGACTGGGCAGAGTCCATTGGGCAGAGAAAGGAATAGACCTTTCTCCAAGAAGATACACAGATGACAAAGAGTACAGGAAATCACTCCACAGCACTGTTCAGAGGGCAATGGCTAAATCACAGTGACTCAGCAGGAAAACTGCAATGAAACCACAATTCTTAGGATGAAGAGGAAACAGTGGTTGAGGATTGGAGAACTGTAACCCTTACAGTCTGCTAATTGAAAGGGAATTGGAAGAGCCATCTGGAAAACAGGCTGGCAGCCCCCCAGATCCAACACTGAGGCATGGACCCAGCCAGGCATGCATATGTGTACTACGGTCAAGAGAAATGAAGCCTGTGTCCTCATCAAAGTTTGTCCATGAATCTTCACAATAGCATCACTCATGAGAGCTAGAAGTGGGAACAGCCCCCTTATCAACCAAGTAAGTGAGCAATGGTTTAAATCATGTGGAGCACAGAGTCACACATGATGACACTAGGCAGCCACATGAGGATGGACAGGTCGTATGTCCCTGATCAGCAGGAAGTAACTGCAGAGGATGTGATGGGTCTGTGCCCTGAGGCAGCCCTCAAGATCAAGATCAAGATCAGAAATCTCTGAGGAGTGAATGCGGGGGCAGCTATGCAGCTAGCTTGGGATCACAAGCTGGGTAGCCACACCTCCCTAGTCTATGGAAATCCCACCTGCCTGTCTATCAATCAGGTGACCCCTACCCGAGGTGCACCTCCCTGACTGGGCACCTGGACTGGTATGGTGGCAAACCACTGTCCTTCTCGGGCTCCTGTGTGCTCTGGCAACCTGGTGAGGCTCTTTGTCTCTTTCTGTGGACACAGGACAGAGGGCAGTCACATTTCTTTCCCATCTTGTGCTTCCCTGCCCACTCCATCCCTGAATATGGTTCACCTAAGTGTATGGCCTCCTCATGCTTTAAAAGGCTTTGTTTTTTTAAAGAATTATTTAAAATTCAGAATTACAGCGAGAAGGAGAGATACAGAGAGAGAAGTCTTCCATCTGGTTGACTCCTCATATTTATATAATGGCTGGAGCTGAGCTGGTCCAAAGTCAGGAGCCAGGGACTTCTTCACAGTCGGCCACATGGATGAGGGCTTAAGCAGTGAGCCATCCTCTACTGCTTTCCTAGAATGTAAATGGGAAACTGGACTGGAAACAGAGCTGTGGGGACTCAAACCAGTGTCAACAATGAGTGCAAGAATGGGGGTCCAGAGAACCTGGTGGTCTTCCAAGCCATAACTCTGTCCTGAGCAGTTACATGCCAGGCAGGAAAGGGAAAGGGACTGGGAGCTCAGGAGCACTTGGCCTCATCCCACCCTGACTCAGCTCCTTTGCTGCCCTTGGTTAGATGAGGCCAGGTGCATGACTCTCAGGACCAGAGATGTCATCGGGGCCTCTGGGGAGGGAGCCAGCAGCCTGGGGAGGCCCGCCGTGCAGCAGGTGTGGAGTGGGTCAGCTGTTCAGATGTGCCCTCAACTGTCTCCACACGCATGTGACCATTGGCCACCATTCCCACCCACTCATTTACTGGAAGGAGAAACACTTGAAGGGTATCAGCCTAATGCGGAAGGCCCTGCAGGCTGCATATGTTCCAGTGCGGCCACCCTGACCTCGGCTGCTATCTGGTGAATGTACCAGCACTGCCAGCTTGAGTTGTGATATTGGAGTGGCAGACTTAGTGAGAACGTGTCCTCTCAGCAGGTCAGGGCCCCACAAGGCAGTTCTCTAAGAGGTACATATATGTGTATATATGCACACACACACATACATACACACACATATACACATGTATATAAATACAGAGTTCAGCCCAGTTCTTCTCCTCACTGCTTCCTGGGTCTCCAAGGGCACCTCAGTCTTGCAAGTGCGCCCCCACTTCACACCCTCCATGGACACAAGGGCATCAAGACTACTAAATTTGGACAACTACCTGCAAAACCATGAACAAAATGACCTTTTCCCTTGATCAGTAGCTTCCCGCTTTTGTAGATTAAGTAATCAGAGGCTGACACATTCAGCTATCAGGCTACCATGGGAAAACAAATTTTGCCAACCACATATCAGCCAAGGAGTCTATGTCTAGGATACAACAAGGGCTCTTATCACTTGATACAACATGGACACAACTGAACATGGACTGTACGTGGGCAGAAGACAGGGATAGACCTGTCTCCAAGAATATACAATTGGTAGGCTGGCATGGCGGCCTCGAGGCTAAACTGTCTTGCACATGCTGGAATCCCGTATGGATGCCGGTTCGTGTCTGGCTGTTCCACTTCCCATCAGCTGTCTGCTTGTGGTCTGGGAAAGCAGTAGAGTGTGGTCCAAAGCCTTGGGACCCTGCACCCGGGTGAGATACCAGCAAACAGAAGAATTTTCTGTATCTCCTACTCTCTGCAGATCTGCCTTTCCAATTAAAAAAAAAAAAAAAAAGACTATACCAATGGAAAAAGTGCAGGAAAAACTCCCCATTGCATTGTTGAGAGAGGAATTGCAAAATCACAGTGACTCAGCAGGAAAACTTCAATCCAGCCACACCTGCTAGAAACAGATGGGCCCTGTGGCAGGTCCAGGTGTGGGTTCTCCCCTGTTTCTGTTGCCATCACCTGAGTCTGGCCCCTCTTCTTGTATGCCTCTGCCCCCACCCTCACTGCCCCACACTCATGGCACAGCCTTACTTTCCTGTCCTGCCCCAATCTCTGTGACCTTTGGCTCATATGGTCCAGTCCCACCCAAGGCCACACCTCTGCCTTGCAACACCCCAGACTACCAGACTACCAGACCTGATTGGTTAGTCACACCGGCAAAACTCATGAAAGTGTATAAGGGCTCTCACTTTAGGTCCAGCCTGCAAAGACTCTAATCCACACACTCATTGTCTGAGTCCTCTGTTGCTTCTGCCACCATGTCCTGTCCAATGCCACAGCGCCGGGCCGTCAACACAATCCTCGGTGCCTTGGAGTTTGGGCGACGCATGGACCAAGAGGCAAGTGTCGCAACAATGCGCACCTTCCTGGATCAGGGCTACAACGAGATCGACACGGCCTTCATCTATGGCGACGGCCAGTCGGAGACCTTCTTGGGCGGCCTGGGGCTCGGGCTGGGCCGCAGCGACTGCAAAGGTATAGGAGTTCCCAGATTCCTCTTTGCGCATTTCACTGCTGACGGTGATCCGTAGCATGGGGACACAGCCCGGTAGCTGCAGCTCTAGGAACCCTGAGCCCACAGGGAAGCATCTCCCTAAATGTCAGCTTTGTGGTTTTCTTGCCTCACTTCTTCCATTTTTCTCTCCAGAAAGATTGCCCAGGATCCAAGTAGGTGGCCCGACATGTAACTTATACCTTATCCCATTCTGAATCCTGACATGCATGATTCTGTCACAGGGCTGCCCCTCCTTCAGGCTCCGCAGGCCTGCTGAACCCTGCACACCCCACTGGAGAAGGCACACCCCCCAACAGACTTGGGACATAGTACAGATCTGCTTCGTCTCTGAACCAGGGTGCCCTCCCTGCAGGACTCGACTTTGCTCCCAATGGACTGCTTAGTTAGCAGTGCCATGAGCAACCAGGTGCCATGGTGGTACCTGCTCAGCATGAATGGGTTGGAGCACTGTGTGATGCCTCTCATGCCAGCATCTGTCTGAGGCTACAGGATACAAACTCCTCCTCCAGGTCAACACTGAGCATGCCCAGCAGGAAGCCTGTAACATGGAGGCATGAGGGTGGCTGATCAGAGAGGGAGCACTGCCCTCCCAGATGTGGTGATGTGGCTGTGGCAGTGCAAGGGAAGAGTAGCTGCAGGCAGGGCTGGAATGTGCCCTAGCTTGAGACTCATGGTTGGGGGAGCTGCAGGTCATACAACAAGTACTCAGAGGGGACTGGCCCGATAGCCTAGCAGCTGAGGTCCTTGCCTTACACGCAGAGAACCCATATGGCTGCTGGTTGTAATTCCAGCAGCCATGCTTCCATTCAGCTCCCTCCTTGTGGCATTGGAAAGCAGTTCAGGATGAACCGAAGCCTTGTCACGCTGAACCCATGTGGGAAAACCAGAAGAGCACCTGGACTCCTGGCTTCACATTGGCATAGCTCCATTTGTTGCAGCAGCTTGGGAAGTGAACGATCAGATGGAAGATGTCCCTCTGTCTCTCCTGTTCACTCTATATCTGAATTTTTGATTACAAACAATCTATTAAAAAACTAAAAGGAAGGACATGGTAGGGTGGAAATGCCTTCAGGGATCATAGATGCTGGGAGTGGCTTTAGCCTGGAATGGCAGGTGCAGTGAGAACTCAGCAGTGTCAGCAACGTCAGTGTTGTGTGTTGGCACCTTAGCCTCCTTCCCTGGGGAGGCATGGCCGGGTGGAGCCTTACCCCTGATCCCACTGCTCTGAGACACATGCATCTCAGGGGACTCTCCTTCTACACATGCTGGTCCCTATTGTTGCTGCTGATTGTCCTGATTAAATTGCTGGTGTCCTGATGAAATTCTTCTGTTCCCTCCTTGAGGCTGGGTCACTGGGCCACAGTCGTCTTGGTTAGATCCAGAAAGGGTGGAAGATGATGGAGGAATGGAGATGTCCCCAGTGAGTGTCACCAAACCTCCTCTCTTCCAGGTCAGAGGTTCCCATGCCCTATGCTCCTGCCCCTGGCATCTGCCTGGCACACTGGCTTTGGAGTGAGCTTCCTCCATTTGGCAGGCAGCAGCCTCTGCCTTCCCTGTGGACTCTGGGAGTCAGACTCCAAGGTAGCACATAAGGTCCTGTGTGGCCTTGTCCCCCTGTGCCCTGGGCTCCCTTATTAACTTGTGCCCTGCCCTCCTTCCTAAGCTCTCAGCAGGAGCTCATCCCTCAGCACCTCGTGACAGGTGCAGCCTGTTCCTCAGCCATGGTAGAGTTGGAAAGACTGAGGTTCAGAGAGACCCAGGAAACTTCTCCAGAGCCCAGAGCTGTGAGGGCAGTGCTGGGAAGGGCAGTCAGCTGTGTCTCTGCACTGTTGCATGCACCCAGGACAGTGTGTGACAATTTACTCTGACCCTCATGTCTGTTGTCTCCTAGTGAAAATTGCCACCAAGGCCCTCCCATATAATGGGCAGACACTCAAGCCTGACAGTGTGCGGTATCAGCTGGAGACTTCACTGAAGCGGCTGCAGAGTCCACGGGTGGACATCTTCTACCTGCACATGCCTGATCATGACACCCCCATAGAAGAGACGCTGCGTGCCTGCAATGAGCTGCACCAGGAGGTGAGAGTTGGCCACATTGGCCCTCTCTCACCTCAGAGGTGTCCTCTGCCTTCTCTCATTCTAATACCAGCCGGGGACTGTATCATGATAGTGTGGTGCAGGCTAGGGCACACTGTACCACCTTTAGTCCCACCAGGCTTCTCTTGCTCACTGGATTGTAAACACAGCCTCTCCCCCACAGGGCAAGTTTGTGGAGCTGGGCCTTTCCAACTATGCTGCCTGGGAGGTGGCTGAGATCTGCACCCTGTGCAAGAAGAATGGCTGGATCCAGCCCACTGTATACCAGGTGAGGGCCAGTGCTCCACAGCTCTGCTTAACCTGGGGCCCTCATGCCAAACAGAGGAACCCTAGCTCTCTGAACCCTCTTAGACCCTCTGGGTGGCTACTGGGTGAGGTCTGGCAGACATCCCAGCTCCTCAGCCTGACCCAGGCAGCTCCTCCCTCTGTGCTGGCTGTGCACTGGCTCCTCCCTCCTGCCTGTCTTTGCCTGTCAGCCTGGGGCAGAGCTGAGTCCCTGGGAGAAGTGTTTAGGGCTCCCCCAGGTGGCTGTTCCCCAGGAAGCCTTTCCCTGTGGTTCCAAGGAACCCAGTGCTCAAGCTCTCCAACACCTACCTAGCTCCTATTCAGCTATTTCCCCTTGGGGTGCAGGCTTGGCATGGGCACTGGGCAGAGCTCTGGAAAACACCAATGGCCACTTCCTAATGACATGTTTAGTTTTGTTTTTAAGTTTATTTATTTTTTATATTTCAAAAAGAGACTTATAGAGAGGCGGGGATAGGAGGGGGAGGAGACTATAGGAGACTTGGAAATTTCAAGAGTGGAGCAGAGTAGAGAGGGGAGGAAATGTAATAGAAGATAGGAGAGGAGAGGGGGAGAGAAGAGAGGAGAGGTAAGGTTACTGCTTTCCCCTGTTCATTCCTCAACTGGCCACGATGCCTGGAGCTGGGCCAATCTCAAGCTGAGAACCCGGAGCTTCCTCCAGGTCTCCCACTAGTGCATTGCCCCAAGGACGTGGCCATACTCTTCCCCAAGCCAACCTGCTTTCCTCTGTCATAGGCACAGAGCCAGATGGAAGTGGACTTGTTGGGAATAGCACCAGCACCCTTATGGGATGTCAGCCCTTCAGGTGCAAAATAAGACTGCTGAGCTTCCACATTCATCCTGACCATCCTTTACTTTTCTTTCTTTTCTAAGATTTGTTATTTTATTGGAAAGTCAGGTTTAGAGACAGAAGGAGAGACAGAGAGAAAGAGCTTCCATCCACTGGTTCACTCCCTAAGTGGCCACAAGCAATGGAGCTGAGTCGATCTGAAGTCAGGAGCCAAGAGAGGCTTGTTCCTGGTCTCCCACGTGGGTGCAGGGTCCTAAGGCTTTGGGCCATTCTGTTCTGCTTTCCCAGATCATAACAGGGGCCTTGGAGGGAAATGGAGCAGCCGGAGTAGAAACTGGTGCTTATGTGGGATCCCAGTGCTTGCAAGGCAAGGACTTGAGCCACTAGGCTACCACGTTGAGATAAACTTGTCTTCTTGCACATGGCTCTAAACTCTTTGAGGAGACAGACCTTGTCCCTTAGGCTCCCAGTCCTTCTGGGGATCTCATTGTGACTCCCAGGCCAGGGATGTGTTTCTCAGTGTAACACACGAGTTTTCCTTGGACAAGCCGGCTTTACCTTCCATTTTATAGCTGGTGTCTGTCCCCATAGGGCATGTACAATGCTGTCACCCGGATGGTGGAGAAGGAGCTGTTCCCCTGTCTCAGGCACTTTGGATTGAGGTTCTATGCCTTCAACCCTTTGGCTGGTACGTGGAGGCCTGGGCACAGGTTCCCCTGGGCAGGAGGGCAGCCCTGGTGTGGTCTCTGCTTCTGCTGCCTCAGCGATGCCCAGCATCGAACTGGGAGGCTGGAGGGACTGCAAAGGGGTGGAATTCTGGTCTTGCTCCTTCCTTGGTCTCCGCGTCTCAGTGGTCTAGCATGCTTTGGTTGGAGTCAGAGTAGGGACTGCTGGTGGATTTCTTGCAGGGGGGCTGCTGACCGGCAGGTACAAGTACGAGAACAAGAATGAAAAGATGCCTGTGAGCCGTTACTTTGGGGATCAGATTTCAACAATGTACATGAATCGGTGAGCTGCGATGTCTGTGACTGGATGGTGGGGTGTGTCTATGAACCGGGGTTCCCTTCCTGCTGTTTGCACCTGCCTCTGTGGATCGCTGTAGCAACTGCAATGCCTTCAGTGGTTCCTGTGAGGAATGGGCATCCCAGGACCATGTGGCCTTCCAAGTTCTTGCTCGGTCCTGAGCAGTCAGTGCTGGGCAGGAAGAGAACTGGACTAGAGGCTCAGGAGGCCTGGGCTCTGCCCTGTCTCAGTTCCCTTAGCTGCACTCGGTCACATGAGGGCAGGTGCCTGTCTTTCAGGACCAGAGCTGTCACTGGGGTGTGTGGGGAGGGCGCCAGCAGCCTGGGGAGGCTCCTCCATGCAGCAGGTGTGGAGTGGATTGGTTGCCTGGTTGGGTCTTTGGATGCTGCTTTAAGTGTCAGCCTCATGTGTGTCTCTCTGTTCCTGTTCCTCACCCGCCCAGCTACTGGAAACAGGAATTCTTTGAAGGCATCGACCTGGTGCAGAAGGCCCTGCAGGCTGCGTATGGCTCCAACGCCCCCAGCATGACCTCAGCCACCCTGCGCTGGATGTACCACCACTCCCAACTGAAGGTAGCTCTGTTGTCCCACGTGTGCAGCTTCTGCTCTGAATTAGGGGCCAGGGTTAGTCTTCTCTTTTAATGATTATTTTGGACCCAAGTCTCATGCAGGTCTCTCATGAGGATGGCTGGGTGGCAAGTACTTGGGTGCAAGCTTACCTTGTGGGTTCCTGGGGAGGAGATGCAACGGAAAAGAAATGGCAGGGACAGTGCTCTCTTAGGAAACTGATCAAGTTTCCTTGCAATGTTCCAGTTTCTATACATTCGGTAAAGCAACGCTCAGCTCAGTTCAAACATGGGTTACAATGACCAGGTTTGATGTACACCTCGTGTCCCATGTGAGCAAGCAGGGAGTTCCAGAAGAGCTAACAAGGCACCTGGATCAAAGTGCCATTGAGGTGAGATATTGATAAGCAGCACGACTTTGATTTAGGATGATTATCTAACCAGAGCACACATGGTTGCGATATATCAGGGCAGCACACGGCACATCCAAGGACTGACTGGGGGCAAGAGTGCACTCCAGGGGAAGGACCCGCATTCCAGGAGCCGCCTCTCAGCAGAGTCCCACAGGCCTCTGCCATCCCAGCTGTATTGTTGCATTTGATTGCACACTTGGGTCATCTGCTGCTGTATTCCAGGCCATTACTGGAAAGCTGATCAGAAGAGGAGCAGCCTGGATACAAGCCAGTACTAACATGGGAGTTGGCATTGCAGGCAGTGGGTTAACTTGCTGCACCAAGAGGCTGGTCCCAGATTCAGAATCTAAGCACACTAACAAGTTTATCTTCTAATTTCATTTTTTCATGAATTCTTTGCAGCATCCTCACACATGAATGAACTCGGTAATTGCAAGCAGAGTGCTTTACATGGTTCTCTTTACTCCCTTGACCACACTGAGAGTGGAGGACACGCAGGCTCAGAGAGGGTCACCAGCTAAGCCATGTTTGCTCGGCTGCGTGGTAGGACTGAGCTCTCGATGATGGATTGTGGGGGTGAGCAGGTGGTCCTTGGGACAAGGACACAGGCAGGGAGTGACAAAGCCAGAGCTGCCCAGGCCCCTTGGGTCCTCTCTGGCCCAGGGACTCAGAGCTGCACAGGCAGCAGGGCTGGACGCTGAGTGAGACTTCAGCCCCTGTGACACATAAGCTGACATGTGCTGTTCCCTGCAGGGCACCCATAAGGACGGGGTCATCCTGGGTGCATCTAGCCTGCAGCAGCTGGAGACGAACCTGGCAGCCGTGAAGGAGGGACCCCTGAAGTCAGAAGTCGTGGAGGCCTTTGACCAAGCCTGGAACCTGGTTGCCCATGAATGTCCCAACTACTTCCACTAGGTTCTGTGTGGTACATGTGTGCCACGCTGTGCTTCACCCCATGACCCACTTCTCCCTCTGCTATGCACCGGGTAACACAAGTGCCCTGGCCTATGTTTCACCCGCTTTGTTCTGTTCTCTGGCCTCCTCTGCTTGTGCTGGCCGGACATGGTCTCTACTGACTGTCTGGTCCCTGCTTGCTCCTCCAGACTCCTGTCTAATGCCTTCGAAGTGTGGAATGTTGAGGCTCATCCCGACACCAGCTGGTCTTGTGGAATAAAGCTGCCCTGCCCTGGCTGAAGCTAGGCTTGTCTGAACCTGCCAATGTGTCTGCTATGTTACTGGGCTGCTGGGAGTGGGGCTGAGCTGAGTGCTGGCTTTTCAGGGGTACATACAGGGGCAGTGTCACCTGGGTCAGGGAGGGTGTCACCGGGGACTTCTAAGTCCTGGTCCCAGATCTTTCCTGTACTTCCTGGTTGCCAAGAGGCTCTCAGTCTCCCTCAGAGTGAGGACGGAGCTGCCTGCCTGCTGTAGGGTGGCTCTCACCAGGGCTTTGCAATGGGACATGGGGGCAGGTCCTGTCGTGAGCATCACCAGCCACAACAAGGTGAGGCACCTAGGAGGGCTGTGGACTTTATGACTGTCCCCATCTCAGTGGTAGTGTCATCTCATCCTAGCTGAAGATTCTGTCCCACCTGAAGACTCCACCTTGGCCCCAGCTTCCTGCTCTTGGGGGTGCAGCACAGGCAGCCAGGCTTCTGCTGCCTTGCACCAGTCGCATGACGCTGCAGAGCAGAGTCCTGGGCCTGGGATTGCTGTTGACCCATCTCCTGTGCAGCCAGTCTCTGCAGGCCTGCTGGGGCTGGGACTTCACAGGCAGGTGGAGTGCAGGCAGTGGGCTCTGCTTGCACTTGGCGCCATCTTTGATTTATTTATTTTATTTCTTACATTGCTTATCTAGTTGAAAGGGATGCACATCCCTGTGGACCTTCAATTTGTGTGGAGGAGAGTGGAGATATGGAGGAAGGTGAGTGGGACAGATGTTTCAATTCTTTTTTTTTTTTTTTTCCTCATCTGTTTGCAAGGGTGAAAGGGGCGATGGCCACTCTGCTGTCAAATTACATCAGCACCCAGGGATGAGGAAAAGGTCATTTGATGACACGTTAGAGATTGTCATGTAAGCAAGAATGTTCTGCTGGTGCTACCTGGGTGGCTTTGATATCATCAATTTCATTGCACCAGGGTTAGGAACATCTTTCCAAGGTCTATTGGCCAACCAAGTCCACTTTAGTGCATCCTCTGATGCAGACACTTGCTGTAAAGCTTGGCCAGGAGAGTTGTCCATCCTTTTTCTGTTCATCCTCTGATGAGGCACTCAACATCCTTTGCTGGCTACATGAGCTGGCTGTCATGTCCCCCGTGTGCATCTGGGCGTGCTGTCCACTGCCCAGTCCTACTGTGTGAACTCTAAGGTTGGATGACATGCATTTTGATTTTCCCTGTGACCAGGGTTTCAATTCAACAAGCTAGCTGGGGAGTCCCCCAAGAAATCTTGCCTGGAGTGATGCCAGTCCTGACTTTTACATGTGATAGCCACTGCAGGGTCAGCTTCTGTCCATCACCTATACCAGCCAATGCACATACCTGGTCAGTTCTGTCTCGGCCAGTATCTAACACAAACCAAAAGGTACTGCAACCCAGCCCAGCCCCAGCCAGCACCAGGCCTGGTTCTTACATGTTCCAGTGGGTGTTGTAACATTTCAGGGTAGTCAGGGTGATCCTCATTAAACGCCACCAGGCCCACATTAGCCCCAGGAGTGGAACAGCTAGAACATGAACTAGCACACATTTGGGATGCCAGCGCATGCAAGGCAAGGATTTAGCCACTGAGCCATCGCTCCAGAGCCCCCCAGGTTTTGCAAGTTTTGGAATGTGTTGCTATTGCATCTGGCTCCCGTGGATACCAATGAGTGCTGCGGCTTAATTCAGCCTGACCTGCCCCGAGACCTGGCCCACGCATGTTCCAATTGGTGCTGCCTTGTCCAGCCATGTCCGGCCATGCCCACTCCCAGCCCTGGCTCTCATGCTCAACCTAGCAAGGTTTAGTTCACAGTTCCTCCACAAGGCCAACCCCCAGTGCTAGATCTTGTGCTTTCCAGGAGATTCTACAGTCCAGCCTGACATGCCTCACATCCAGTCCCAATACTTGCCTTTAGGTGCTGCAGCCTAGTTCAGCTGACCTGCCCTCAGTGCCAACTCTCCTGCTTAACAGTGGAAGCAACAGCCTAGCAGAGGAGTCCCTAAAGCTCCCGACCAGACCCACTCTCAGCTCAGGTACTGTGAGCTGGTCTCACATGGCCTATAGTAGGCATTTACTGGCAGATGTAACAACCTAGCCCAGGTTGGGCAACCCCTAGCCTTGACACTCATGTGAACTGGAAGGTGTTGAGGCGCAACCTGCCCTGGCCAGCACCCCATTCTGGCTCTCACTCATGCCAATATTGCTGTGTACTGGCCCAGCCCAGTCTGCCCTCAGTCCTGACCCTATGTATGCTGATGGGTTCTGCAACCCAGCCTGGCCTGGGCTGTTCTCAGCTTTGGCTCTTATGCTCACCAGTGGGAGCTGTGGCCTATCAGGGGTGTTCTCCAAGTTTCTCTACTATGTTCACTTCCAGCCCCAGATTTCATGTGTGCTGGTGTGTGCTGGTCGGTGCTGTGGCCCAGCCTAACATGGCCTGAGTCCAGTCCTGGCATTCACCACTGGGTGTTATGGACTAGCCTAGCCCAGCCCAGCCTTGCCTTGCCCAACCCCAGACCTGGCTCTCATGTGATATGTTCCATGCTGCAGCCTAGTCTGCCGATCCAACACAAATTCTAGCTCTCATGGGCACAAGCAGGCACTGGGGCCTACTCCAGCCTACCTGTCCCTAATCCAGCCTAGGGGATGCAGCAGCCTAGCCCAGCCTGGCCCACCTCCAGTCCTCATGTGAAGTGGCACATATTGCAGTCAGTCCCATATGGCATGGTCTTCACCCTCTCATGGCTCTTGCTTGTGTCAGTGTGTGCTGTGAACTGGCACAGCCCAGACTACCCCCAGACCTGGCCCACACATAATATTCTGATGGGTGTTACAACACACCCTGACCTGGCCTGCCCCCAGCTTTGGCTCTCCCCACTCAGCAGTGGGACTGCAGCATAGCATGGGTGTTTCCCAAAGTTCCCACACTAGGTCTACTCCCAGCCCCGGATCTTGTACATGCCATTTGGTGCCCAAGGCTTATGTGTATGTGTGTGAGTGTGTGTGTGTGTGTGAGGCTATACTACCCACATGTGCAGGTGCCTTGGCCTGACACAGGCATGCATTCTGGTTTCCCTCTTCTACATTACTCTTAGATCCCTTGCACACCTGTGAGTGCAGTGGCCTGTTGCGGTGGAACCCCAACAGTCACTCCTTCCCTGTCAGTTCTCAGTGGTCCCCACTCCAGCACATCCCCAGAACGCCTTCCCTAGGGAATCTGCAGTCTCCATGCCTAGGGATAGCATTAGCTTCTCCAGCCTGGCATCCACCACTTTTCCTGCATATTTTTAGAAAGATAGAATAGGCAATTATACTGGCACACAGAGGAAACACATCTAGAGTGTCTGTCAGCTATTGAATGTTTTTCTCCCAGGAGTGTAACTCTTGCTTAGTACAAGGCAACCTTGGCAGTAGCTTAGAGCTGAGGGAGCCATCTCTCGAAATGATGGTGCAGGGCCTCACTTGGGAATCCAGCTCCAACCAGGAATTGAAGTCTGTCTGAGCTCAAAGGACTACCATGGGGTTGGTCGAGGGAAACATGCTACAGGCTAAATGTCTCGCTTATTCGGGCTGCTTTTGGCATAGCAGATGAAGCTGCTGCCTGTGTCCCCAGCATTCCGTATGGGCTCCAGTGCAAGCCCTGGCTGCTCCACTTCTGATTCAGTTCCCTGCTAATGTGCCTGGGAAAGAAGCAGAAGACAGCTCAAGTGTTTGAGCCCTTTCACATTTGCATGAGACCCAGAAGAAGCTTCAGACTCCTTGCTGTGGACTGACTTACTTCCAGCCATTTGGGGGTTGATCCAGCAGGACGAAAGACCTGTCTCTCTCTCTTTAACTCTGCCTTTTAAATAAGTAAACAAATCTTTTTTTCAATTTTTCCTCTTTATGGAAATATGTTGCTCTGGTCTGTCTGTAACAGACAGAGGTGTCCCGAGGGCAGTGGTGTACCACAGCTGCTGGCCAGCAAGGCTCCACGGTTGAGTGGCTGAACATGATGAAGTTGCCCCTAAATCTGAAGTTAACAGTTAATGATTGGGGCTGGTTCAAGGCAGAGCAGGTTGTCACCACCTTTAAACTCAGCATCCACCCTTGAAGACGGGATGTGTTCTACCTCTGATTCTAGTCCAACTCTCTGCTAATACGCCGGGAAACCAGCACAAGATGGCTTAGGTTGGTGGGTCCCTGGAACCCACATGGGAGACCCAGATGGATTTTGCCTCCTTGCCTCGACCTGGCCCATGGTTGACCACTGTAGTCATTGTAGCAAGGAAGCAGCCCAGAACTATTCTCTCTGTGTCACTACCTCTTAACGTAACTCTGCCTTTCAAGTGAACAAAATACACACTAAAAAACTAAAAGCAGCTAATGGATTGAAGCAAATGGATGCTGGGTTAATGATGGAGGGTTGACTCAGTTGTGACACTGGGGAAGCGGGTCTTGTCTCACACTGAGGTGTGTCATTGTGTTCCTTGAAAGGGTTGATGACATATGTAGAGTTCAGCCCAGCTCCTCTCACTCCATTAACTGCTAATGACAGACTATGCAGCTGAAACATCTGCTTAGGGTCCCATTGATCTAATTTTATTGCTTACTTGGGCTTCTGCTGTGTTATCTAAGAAACCACCATCCAGGGCCCAGAGTGGTAGCCTAGTACTAGTCCTAGTCCTCACCTTGCACTCACCAGGATCCCATATGGGCACCTGTTTGTATCCCAGCTGCTCCA